TGTAATGTTATTACAAGGTGTGGCAGGCACTAGCTAGGATCCACCATGGAAGCAGCAAAAGATAGTACGCAGAAGAGAGAGAGAGAGAGAGAGAGAGAGAGAGAGAGAGAGATGATAACATTTGCATCTGGATTAATGGAGATCTTTGGTGATTTTGATTGCAATTTTTTTTTTTTTTGCATTTAAAAGGGTGTTTGGGCCTCTTAGATTTGATTTTGATTAAAGACAGACAATCTACGTCAAATTTTTAATTGTAGATATCTAAATTTAGAACTCATTATTGTCTTCCTCTTTCATCTCAGATATAACTAGGGTTTTTGTCTACAATTACTCAGTTATAGCCATAATGTAATGTCACGAAATTAGCCATCTGACTTGAAAAGCACTGAAAGACATTCGTGTCGGCATTAGACAATACACACAAAATGCTATCTAGAACAAGACATTTGGCATTAATTATGATTTAAGACATATCAAGGCGTAGCAAAGCCAAGGAAAGGACCGAGTCAGTACACTTGGGCGAATAGAGACCCATCTAAGTAGATTGGAGTTTCATGGCTTCCTTTATTTTTCAAATAATACCATTTAAACTTAATTTGTGAAAATAATTTATCGATCTAATCATTCACTGTCATCAAATTTCAATTCCAAACGTCTATAAAAAATTGTAATGGTTCTAATCACGCGTCAATGACGTAGTTTCTAATTTTATGTTTATTTGGTTTTTAAAATTTTTAATTTGTGCCTATTTGATCCCACGTGATTGACACATGACCAAATATATTAAAGAAATTTTGACGGATGATTAGGATTGGGCCACATAGATACAAATTATCAATCTTAAGGACCAAATAAACACTACGCACATAATTTGGGAATAAAAAGTGTATTTGACACTATTGAATTAGGTCCAAATAGCATTGCTTTTATTTTTCAAACAGCTCTCTTTATTTGGAAGCGGAAGCAAATGGTTGGCTGTGGGCCCATGTATAACTGGGCTATGTACAGATCTGGCCCATCACATGATGGTCAATGGTCAATGTGATAGCCAGCAGAGAGGTCCATGGAGAATGATATTGAACCCATAGCCCATAAAATGACCCTATTGAGATCTGCAAAGATGACCTGATTGACAGGGCCCACAATCCGACACATTGGCCCAAAAAATTAAAAAACCTAAACATAGGTGAAATCAGAGGAAAAGAAAACTAAAAAATAGACACATTAGAAACACTCCAATGGGCAGGTTAACCCGATCCAACTCCTTAATTGGTCAACATCCCGACCCAAAGCCCACAAATTCCGTAATCTTAAAATCCAACAATGAATAAAATGACTATTAGATCAACCGTTAACCTTACCATTGGACATTAATTTGCCCCAAGATTAGTTGATTAGTTGGTAATCATGTTTGAAGTGTAAGGGATTTTTAGTATTGACAATCATATGTGAACTACTTCCTTAGGTTGTTACCACCTACAACTGCAAAGTAGGTAAATTATATTTTAACCCCTTCAACTATGACTCTTCACATTGTCCCCTCAACTTTCATGTTCCACACATTGCACCTTCAATTCTGTCATTGGATTCACATTACTCCAAGATGTTAGCCCCTCGAATTTGTTAACATCTGTTAGAAAGTTAACGAAAAATATTTCATTTAGCCCCTCGAATTATGTGATTTTAGTTCACTTTGTCTCGGTACGTTGACATTTTCTATCCGAAAAGACAACAGACATTTGAGTTTGAGACAATGTGAACAAACCAATAGTTCAAGGGACAAAGTGAAATTGAGTCTATACTTAAAAGGTCTGATTTTCATTAATATTCTGCTGATTAACAGCTGGTAACTTAATCAAGGGTTTGACAAAAAATAGAGAGAATGAACCAATCATTGGCAAATTAAGGAGAAGCGAGATCTCATCTGATATATATTTTTTTCATTTCGTCCTTAATAAATTATCAATAGTAAATTCACATGTGACTTATTTATTTTATATAAGTGGGTTCACATAAATACATGACGGATGATTTACCAAAAAAGAAAACAAATATATATATATATATATATATATATATAAAGGAAATTAGGATTAACTAAGGATGGCAAACAGTGGACATGAAAGTATCAAACTTGCAATCAATGACCCCCCCAACCATAAGGTTTCAAAGTCCACAAAACCATATCCACACAAACCAAAAAAGGAAGGAAACAAACAAGACAATTAGACAACACACAAAGAGCCCCCCCCCCCATGTCTTCTTTTTCTTTCATTTATCATCACAACTCCCACTTTCCTCCCACCTTCTCTTTCCCATGTCTCCATTCATAAGGATTTGGTCTTTCTTTTCTTTTCTTTTTTTTTTTTGGAGTCAAAAGAGACTTCAATGTGTTAGCTGTAGAAAAAGATGAACTACCTTTGAATGATTCCTATACACCAATTCAAAGTTGCCCTAAAGTATTTTGACTTAGGAAACTGAGGTGGGTCATTGCTTTTCTGTCATAATTCCCCATTCAGGTGGGACCAAAATATTATGGGTCTCACCTGTTTTCCTGTGGCTGGAACCATTACACTTGGGCAGGAAGATTTCTAATCATTACAAGAAGTTATACTTATTTCAATATTCTTCTGAACTCGATTCAATAAAGCCTTTTTTTTTCCAATTATTTGGGTCAGATACATGTTTCTTTGTGTTCTATTAAGGGCCATATTTTCCGTTAAATCTCAATTTGGGAGTAGTTTCACAGGTTCAGATTATTAGATTAACACAATCCACTTCTTAGTGCAATACACATTAGCAATCAGCTTGTGGAAAATCAACCCAAACATCATCACATATCTACTTTGACCCCATTTAGATTTTCTACACAAAAAAACATAAGAACAAGGATACATATGCTGTAGTAATGTGTAGAATTCTCATTCAGAATGACCCAATTAATTAGACCAAAGCCATGAAAGTTAATCGATGATCGACATGCTTAGTAATCAGGGGTGTTTGAGTTAATTTATGCATACATTGAGTAATCCCCTTCTCGATTCGGTCAAAGGCAGGTCATCCTCGCTTGGGGCTAGGATATTTATATGGGATAATAAATTTCAAATAAACTGACTCCAAGAGTTTGTAAAAATTTGAACTCGGGACATCTGGGTCTACAGTTCGTCTTTCTTATCACTTGAGCTACCTTGGGTTGTAATCCAAATACTATCACCACCTCAAAGATGGGAATTCTAAATAAAACTTTCTGCTTCTGAAAAAATTTCCAAGATGAAAAAATTCAAGCAATTACCCAGTGATAGCCATTTGAGTATGTAAAATAGAGCAGTTCGAATAGGACTCCTT